GAGGGTGATTATCGTAGTTTAGATTTTTCTGGACAGTCAAACATGTCGAAGGTGTATTCAATTGTTAAGCCTACTGACTCTACTATAAAAGTGTCTTAACATACTATTCCAGCCATACAAAAACATTTAGCACTATACTTTTTGTAACATGAAAATGACCGAGTTACTTCTTCACAGTGTGCTCAAATGGAAGCTACGGACAGAAGTGCAACAACTCGTGTACTGACAGGAAGTGTGCTGGAGACTCGCTCTGTGATCACATAAACGGGACATGTGTTTCCGGGTGTGCGCCAGGTTGGATGGGTGGAGACTGCAGAGAAGGTGACCATCTGAATACATATTTTAACGTTTTACTGATAGTCTTTCAACAGTGTTATTAGCCTTTAAAACATGTGGTAGTATTAGTAATACTTGTGAAGAACGAAAATAGATCTTTAGCATTCAATGACGTACGTTTCTATTGAGAACTGTCTGTAAATATACGAGGTTCGAATGACGTTTGCCTTTAATCAATTCAATCTGGACCAGGCAAACCGTTAACTGATCTTGGGCGCAATGTATCATGCCATCGGGTACGATGTCCCTCTGCCAGTCAGATCACCGAGCATTATAACCCTGTCATGGTCGCCTCATACGACAAGCATAGGTTGCGGGGACATGTATGAAGAAAAATGTTTAACATAAATTGGCCAAATGTATCATCATGAAATTCAAAAGAATGTATCATTGTGTCCAAAATCCACGTGTGATCTACAATGCATATCACAAAGATACTAGTGAGTGAGTATGGTTTTACGCCGCTTTTAGCAATATTCCAGCAATATCACGGCGGGGGACACCAGAAATGGGATTCACACATTGTACCCATGTTGGGAATCGAGCCCGGGTCTTCGGCGTGACGATCCAATGCTTTAACCACTAGGCTACCCGACCGCCCCACACAAAGATACTAATTGATCCTACTATATATACATGTTGAAACACAACTTATCAACCAAACACTATGTTCAACTCTATTTCTTCCCTGTATGGTTCCTGGTCATGGCTTTAGTTTGAGATGAACAGAACAGATTGTTCATACATTTTAACAAATACCCATTTAGTAAACATTTCACATTCTGTTTATTCTGTTTTATCGACCGGTGTTAAATAGGTTTTAAACTGGTAGTTATCATCACAATATTAGCATTATTATTCTAATCATAGCAATAAATATACTCTGTTCATGACATTAAGATTGCTCTGCAGGGTGCTCAAATGGCAGCTACGGACAGAACTGCAATAACTCGTGTGCTGACAGGAAGTGTGCTGGGGACTCGCCATGTGATCACATAAGAGGGACATGTGTTACCGGGTGTGAGCCAGATTGGATGGGTGAAGATTGTAGGGAAGGTGACCATCTGAATGAATATTTGAACCTTTTACTGACAATCTCTCAATGGTGTTATTAGCCTTCATAGCATGTGGTCGTTTAAATAACTTTTGGTGCAAATAGTGATGTACCCAACCATTGAGGTTTGAACAAGCATTCATCAAAATGTATGCTTTACAAAAGGAACCTACTATAACATGTTCAAAACAATGTTTATCTCGAGCCGTTTAGCAATCACACAGAACGTTATAACCAATCATTTTTGTGTTGTAACAAATCATATTAAGCTAGAACAAGGTTTTGTATTGTCTTAGCAATATTTCACCCACATGACGTTCATTTGTCTAAAATTGAGTCTGGACTAGACTCTTACTACCCTTTCACAGTCGCCTCTTATGAAAAGTATAGGTTACAAGACTATCTCGTAAGGACACTGATATCAAGTAAATTTTGCTTTGAAAATATACTTTTTATTTAAATTCCACATGTGACGAAAATGCATGTAACTGATATTTTGAATTTGATGATAGGCATAACAATATTTAGCGAAAGGGTTCTAATGTGTTTGTGACATTGTGACTTCTTCACAGCATGCTCAACTTCTTTGATACTGTAAAGGCGACGTTTCGGTATAGATTCTTATACCGTTGTCAAGCAAGACTGAATGAGCTGTTGTTGTTGCATTACGTGTTTAAGAGGTCGCCTTCTGCCAAAGTAATTTCGGCTTACCTGTCCCTCTTTGGGACTCCTGTGTGTGAGTAGGGTACACATATCTATTGCGAGTTTGGTGTTCACGAATGTTTTGTTTTTGTATTGATCTGATTTCTATTTTCTTATATTGATCTGATTTCATTTTTAACCTTGGCTGCTCTGTTTATATACGTTCGAGTAGGTGTCTATCTCTCAGAAATAGAGTTAGTTTGGCCTTCACTGTTGTATCTCTTGGCTTAAGGAGATCTATGACAGATAGCGGATTCAACTGCAATTCTTGTTTTAACCTAGCCCGGGCTCGGGCATGGTCTTGACATTCTAGTAACATGTGATCAATGGTTTCAGCCTGATTGCAAGATGAACAAACCTTGTCATAGTGCTTTTTTGTGACCGAGTCTGAGGCGTGAGATAGCAATTTCAGTTTTCCTTTCATTTGAGTATGAGTTTGGCTTTTATTGGACCTTGGGTTGAACTGCCGATCTTACTTGCGTCCCATTGGGCTTGCCATCTTTCTGCTATGGAGGCTTTGATTTTGCTTTTTATCTCTAGTTTACTAAAGGTAATAGGATGTATATCCGCTTTGCCTAGAGCTAGCTTCGCCAGTGACTTTGCTTTTTCATTTCCATGAATATCTATGTGAGAGGGGATGCAACACAGCTCCACCTGTTGCCCTTGGTCCGATAGTTTTGTATATTCGTATAGAATATTGTTGACTGTTTGGCCTGGAGTTTGAGTTTCTGTCACTGATCGCTTGAAGTGCACTTAGCGAGTCTGACAGAACGACTTCCTTTGCTCCCGGAAGTTCCGGTATGAGTTCGAGTGCATGATGAATTGCCTCCAATTCAGCCGTGAATACTGACTGACCATCAGGCAAGCGAACTGAATGTGCTTGGGGCTTGGAGCTGTGGATATGGATCCCGTAACCAGCACTGTTGTTGATAGGATTCTTGGATCCATCAGTGTATATATTGTCCCAGGTAGTTTGATAGTGGTAGCTACTGATCGTAGTAGGTTTGGGTTTTCTTTTTTAGTGACTTCTGATGTTAAAGCAGTTACAACTTTGACAGTTTTTAAAGTCCAGGGAGGGTGTAACCCTTTGTAGTGACTTTCTCGAGGCTGAATGTCATCACAATTGTGACTTCGAATGAGTTCACGTATCCCAGATGGCTTTAGTGAGGGATTTTTTCGAGCTAGGGCTTCATCTCGAGTGTTTTGCCTTGTCAACCCAAAGGGTTTGATGTTCGTCCCCAGAACGATAATTTTGCCTGCTCTCTTCTTAGTTTCAATGGGAGTTCTCCCGTTTCTACTTGTGGTGCTTCTAGTGAGGTGCCTGTTGCTGCGCCTGTGGCCAGCATTCGGGCTCTGTATTGCATTCTGTCTAGGCGCCTCAAGACAGTATTTGATGCTGAATGAAAGGCCTCACAACCATAGTCAATTTTTGATCTGATAAAGAGATTTGTAGAGGTCCAGCTGAGTGTCCCTCGATGTGCCCAAAGATGTGCCTGAAATCGATGTTTCGGTATAGATCCTTATACCGTTGTCAAGCAAGACTGAATGACCTACATAGTACAGAATATATATATAGTAGGTGGAGGATTAACAGTAACAACAATTGCATACATGAGTAAGTAATGACAACAGAAGGATGATACTGTCAAAACATGACAGAGAACACATAGCTGGAAGCCAATGGGACATGAAGCCAAGTAGACAGAAAAAGGTTGTATAGGTTAAGTGATTATAGCTTAATGTGTTCATAGTAGGTGGATTGGATTAAATAGCCTTGATCTCTGTTGCTTGATGGCTTGTGGCGGCGTATGTGGACTGCTTCTGATAGTTTTCGTTTAATGAAATAATGGAGGATTTGGACGTTGTCCAAGTTGATGTTGTGATTAGGGCAGTTGCTGATATGGTCCGAGATGACCGATTTGTTGTCTGTTTCACCAGTTTCTTGGTGAAATTTGATCACAGTATATAATCATTAATCTTGTCATACAAATTGTATCTTGAGACAAGACGTAGCATGCTAAAAAGTGGTGATTTCGTGTCCCACTTAACTAGTGTTGCTTTATATCTAAACTGTCCAAGTCTGACTAGAAACATTCGTTTTAAAATATACATTACGTTTGAATTACATAGCTTACAGAAGTTTTTACAGTACTTATGTACACCCTCTCATAGACAATTGCTTTTTGAACAGGTAGATTTATCTTACCAATGTACAGATGTTCAGGCGACACTGATTTGTTACTACATCTTAAAGTAGTGATCACATGGTAGTTTAACTGCCACTTCTTTGCCATTTTTTGCAACGTTTAGATGCATTTGAAGATCTGTTGTGTAACAGCTGATCAATGTCGTGTCATCTGCAAACAGCATTCCTGGCATGGGCATCGTCCCCATGAGAGACATAGTCCACAAACAGAACTGCTTAGTACATGAAGTAAATCGCTGATATAAAGAGTAAAGAGCCATGCTGATATGACACGACCCTGACCTACACCCTGTTTAACAGGGAAAACATCAGAATTGAAGCCAGCTAAGCTAACACATGAGCTCACAGAATTGTAAGATGGACATTGATACCAAATTTAAGTAATTTATAAAAGAGACCGTCAAATCAAACACGATCGAAGGCTTTCTCGTTATCGATAATAATAAACAATAATTTAAACTGGTGAGGGTTTTTTTCGTTAAAGAATGAAATACCCTCCAGAAGAGTTTGGGCCGCCGTTTCAGCACCAGCATGTTTCCTAAATCGAAACTGCAGGGGATGAGGAAAGGCTACTTCGTCGCTTTTCCATTTTTCGATTCTGTTGAGAGGCATACTTTCGAAAACCTTACTTAGGACTGAAGTTAATGTTATGCCCCTGTAGTTAAGTGGATCATTTTTACCTTTTCCTCGTCCCTTAGAGTTCGCCAATATGATACACTTTGAGAATATATTGATGTTTAATAATATCATTGAATAATACAACATTATGCTTTAATAAAGATCTTCCGCGTACTTAGTATGTTCATTTGCGAGCTGTACATATCTTGGATAGTCTAAGACATATGTAACGTATTGAGATTAACTATTAATTTAATCCCTTTACATTTTCTATGTCGGGTACAACTCAAATGACACATGTAGATGGTTAAGTTGACTATTGGACAGTTGAAGGCATCCTTCTTGTAATACAGTCTTGTGACTCTGAATCATTATGCATAGATCTAAATATGAAACAGATGAAGCTGTCTCACTGGTCTCCTTTAGTTCCAGTTCAAGTGGGTTAATCAGTGGAAGGGAATTGGCTATTTGACCATTATTGAACGATTTCAGATCATCGAAATACCTGAAGCTCAGGTTAAACTTCTTGGCCAAATTACCTTGTTTTCAAGCATGTCACAAGCTTTGAATATATTTCATCATACAATGTTTCCATGTCTGACAAGCAGAATGCAATGTACATATATTAATATACATTTTTGTTTCTTCGTGTATTTTTTTAAGTGTTATACTTGCAGTACATACCCAAGCTTCTACATCCCCGCCTGCGCCTGTCGCGGCAGTTGGTGGTGCTGTTGGCGGCCTTGTCCTGTTGGTCCTGGTGCTGGTCCTCCTCCTCATCATCAGGTCAGTTTCACCCGCCTGGAAACAATGAACTAAATTTCTCATCAAAGTGTAAATAGGATACTGGTGACAATGTGCTTTTACTTGCCTTTGCATGTGTTTGTGATAGGTGCCACCTGTGGGGCAGATGCGCTCAGCTTTTTCACCTGGTACCATTACTATTTGATAGTGATTCATAAACAGATGCTTCCGATATAGTCGGAATCGTATAATCGACTCTGCTTTATACAGATATTCTATTTGATATGGAAAGGGTTTTGTCACTTTATGTAATTAATTATTTATAGGAGGAGAAGAAACAAAGGGAATAAGTCTCCTGATGGACCAATATTTGATGAGACGTCTCCAAGGAATAGAAAGCACCACGGTAATGATATGTTTGTTATCCAGCTTATGCATTATGGCCATAGTGGTTTTACTTCATATAATATATATTAGTTATATTGCAGTTGATACTGTTCTACAGTCGTAGTAACGCTGAAGATGTAATGTCGATTTGCTTACACACAGCTTTTACATGTGGTAGGTACATGTACGTGTCAATATTGAAATGATTTGTCATGGTGTATCACATGCGTTCCTTGATATAATCTTCGAAGTTACTATTCTGCTGGTCATGGTTTCAGGTGCTGATAACGTTTACATGAATGTTGCGTTTGAGGAGAACACTCTGTCTATTGGTGACAAAGATCATGACCATCCAGAGCATCCACAGGAAGCTGATTCCCAGAGTGTGGCCAACCTAGAGGAAGACGACAAGGACGCCCATGTTAACATACATCCGAAGGGGGAAGCAGTACCGGGTGTCTCAGGATGTAACTATTACAACTTGGGCGACCTTGGTCACGTTATTCCATTGTCTTCTCTTGAGGAAAGAGTACGTGAAATTGAAAATCATCCCCAAGAGGCATTTGAGGTAAAGTTGTGTTTTATTGAAAGACAAATGTCTGGTATGTATTTGGAGTCCTCTTCCTCAAACCAGTGTAGAATGTTGAGAAGGATAACGATAATACAAGTGCAGGTCATATATTTCTGAGTAAAAATAATAAACAAATAACAATAACCCCATGCAGGATTAATGCACAGATGTTTATAGTTGTTATGGTACGAAACGTTTTACATGTTCTTTTCAGTTGACGGTTTTCGTAAACAGTGTTTTCCTCAAGTTCTTTTCAGTTTTGCCAAGTTCACGAATTGTGAGCAGGTTCTTTTCACTTTTGCTAAGATGTCAGTGTTTGTGAATAGTTACTCTGTATGTCTTAGCGCTTGCCAGACGGATTTACCCACAGCTACTGAGAATCTCAGAAGGCAGGGAACAAAGGGAAGAACAGATTCAGGGGATACTATCCATGTGAGTATGAAATGACGTGCTTGCCTGCCTACTGATTAAATATAATAAGGCTTCCTGCTGAACACGCAATGTTCCATTTCCTAGATGACTACAACCGTGTGGTGTTGCACGGCGACAGTGACGGCAGCAGAGGCGACTACATCAACGCCAGCTACTTAGTTGTGAGTTTTGATATTGTGATTATTCAAATTACATGGTTATGAAGTTGTTTTCTCGTTCTTCTCCTTGTTAAGGTACATACCAATTCCTGTAATACAGTAGTACCATGAGCCCATGTTATGTAAACACACAGAGTAAATGTCCATTGCTCGTGTTTTACATTCAAGCATACAATTTAGAAGTGAACTTAACATACAACAGTTATGAATAACATCGTTTTTATCATGTCTCTTTCAGGGATACAATACTGACAATCGATACATTGCAGCACAAGGTAGTACACATGCTTATTGATAACAGCCGAGAACACGACATTTGAATAAACACAATTGATAACAACATTACCATTATCCAATAAATGTGTGTCAGTCTAGATGTATAGATTCAGTGTCATGTAACGGCTTTATTCGTTTTGATATCTATAACCATACGGTGTATTGTTTAATCAAATAACAGTAGCTGTGTCCTTGTCAGAATGATATTTAAGTAACGATAATAACACATAACACTTTTCCTAGGTCCCTACAAGTCGGATATTGTCGAGGATTTCTGGAGGATGATTTGGCAAGAAGGTTGCACGTCTATTGTCATGGTAACTGGGTTGGTGGAAGCCGGCAAGGTAGGACAGGATTTGTTTGAAGGAAGTGAATCATGAGTGGTTTTGGGAAAATGTTAAGAAATTATTGTGTGAATTTTGAACTTACGTGCTATGGTGAATCTTCAATGCAATATCTCAATATCTCACATTACTTATTTATATCCTATTTATATACAGACAATATTTAATCATGTAACAGAGCACAGCACTGAGCACATTCCCCACATTGGAACGTTGTTTACGTTGGTTTACAGGTGAAGTGCCTTCAGTATTGGCCTTCGGAGAAAGGACCAGAGAAGTTTGGTGACGTTATGGTTACGGTGGAAACAGAGACACGACTAGCCAACTACACCATCACCAAGTTGGCTGTTGAGAATGAAAAGGTGGACGTGAATCAGTCTGTACATCCTTGGTCATTAACATTAGTTATATTTTCAAGACATTGGAATCGGGTTTGGAGTAGGTAAACATAATAGAAAAGAAATAGATATTAGAGTACAGGTACAAAGGTAATAACGGTGAGAGATCAAAGAGAAAGTAAAATGTTTTAATATTAACTGTTTAAGCAGTTAAAACGAATTAAACAACTACCCAAGTTTCATGTAACAATCATTGAATAAATGTAACCAATGTGTGTGTGTCTGATTGTACTATGACCGGACTAATGCGGATTTTATAGTGCTGGCCCACTGAAATACCATGCGGCAGTTTAGCATGAACATCCCGCTCAGACACAGTATACTTTACTCCGATTCGACCAGTCCTTGTTTTATCCCCTTATTGCCGAGCGCTGGGGATCAAACCCTAAACCTATAATATCACATTGTTTAAATATCCCTTTGGGACGCTTTTGACATATTTCAGGGAAGCGAGATACGTGATATCTACCACCTTCACTTCACCAGCTGGCCAGATCATGGTGTTCCAGACACTGCTGCCCTTCTGGACTTCATGTGGAGGGTCAAGGTCATATCTGGACAACAAACAGAGCCGATCATAGTTCACTGCAGGTGAAAACACTACGACAAAAAGGGTGCCTCTATCTGTGTCTATACAGCTATTCACTCTTCACTCTTCACTATTTTGGCTTGTACCATATGATATTTCTTACGGAAAGGGTTTGTTGGATTTATATACACTTGTGTGTCTCCATAGCACTGATTAATAAAACGTTACATGTGTCAATATTTAACAATGCCGAAAGCCTTTTTGTAAAGACACTCAGTCGACCATCACTGCCCCTAACGAGAACAGAACATATCAATCGCATACTATTGTTTTGACAGAGAAAAAGTGGTTGACACAGAATTTTACGACAGACAACGAAACACTTGTTCCTGTCTAATAATATGTAGGGCCGATTAATCTTTTACCATGATTCGTATGCTTTAGTTGATTTACTGTCTCTTGTACTCAGTGCTGGTATAGGTCGGACAGGGACGTACATCGCTGTCGAGAGTCTTGTGGAACAGGCTAAGACAGAGGGCGTTGTAGACGTCGTCAGCTTTGTCTCCAACATGAGAGGGCAGAGGAAGAACATGATTCAGACAAAGGTAAGTAAATGCAGTAGTGGTTTCTTATTTTCTACTATATATTGTGACACAAGGATCATCAGAAATTGTTTCACTGAGAACTTTAAGGAATGCAATAACAACACTTTTAAAATCTTTGTACTGAAATATGAAAGTGACAATGGCATAAATTAACTTATTTTCTCTGTGCACCTTGGTCTCTGTCGTAAGATACGATTTTGCAAACACGAAACTGCTTTTTTAGTCGCGGAAACTAGGGGTGGTGAACCGTCCCTGTGTGTAAGACAGGAAGAATTTACGTTTCAAGGTTTTACATTAGTAATGAAATAATTTAATTTTCCGGTAGACAACTACAAAAAAGTATATAATGAATAGGATATTCCACGTGTCTCTTGAAATATCCTCTATTTATTATTGTTATGTACATGTACGTGTTTCTTGGGTTATTTTATGCATTACAATTGCTGCAAAGCTATAATGTCTATTTGAAAGAAACACAATTCAAAGCAACGTTACGCCCATCTGGCTCATTTATGTATTGTCTGTAGTTGTTACTTAAACACCTCTACACCCCCAGGAGCAGTACCTGTTCGTGTATCAGGCGGTGGCGAGGGCGGTGACAGAGGGTGATACGTCACTGGATTGTGACGTCATCAGAGAGATGAACCTGGATCACGTGTCGGCCATTGCTATGGGAAATAGGACTGTTCAACAACATATCAAGGCAGGGGGTGAAATTTACATCAGTGATGTTAATTCTCGATTGTGATCGCTTTGGAAGAGATGTTGCAATGACAAATAACATATCATACATGCACTTAAAACGGCAAATAACGAATAAAGTTCCGTTTAATATTCAGTAAGATCACTATTACTACATGCTAAAACCTATATTCATTCTTTTGCAGGTCTTGCAGAGTGATTTGCAAGGTATGCATACTTCCATTACAGTATAGCTAATTATATCATTTCATGTTGTGACATGTTAAATGTAATGATAAATGTTATCCATCTAATTGATAAGAATTGATGATAAAATGTTCAATAAGTAAATGAATATCTGATATTTTCGGCAATGCCATTTCTACTATAAACTGATGCATAATAGAAGGCTCTTAATTTGATACCGTTTGTAGTTTTCCTTCTTCAGTATGTTTTCGAGGTAGTTTGTTAAAGGATATTTATGACCACCACCTTGTCATGTCAGTTTAAAGGCTATCGTGACCTACTTTAAAAGTAAACATACATGTTTAAGTTTTGCAACAGTTATTGACATAATATGCAGCGCCTTCATGTTTCACTGATGTAATTGGTCAAGGTTCTTAGTTTAAGACTTGGCGTCTTGGACCTAGCATCACCCTTAACACCTTACAGAGTGTTCTCCAAAGGACGAACTTGCGACATTGCTTACTTTAAGAAAAGTGTTTTAATTATGGAAAAACGTATGATAATGGGGATGAATCAGAAGTTTGTCAGCACCAAACCCGTGCTCGAGGGTCTCATCAAAGTGTTAAATGTCAAATACCTTCATCACTTCGGGCTTTCTTCTCCCACCAAACTGTTACACCGTGATATAACTTGAATAGTGTTCAAAGCGACGTAGCAGTATCCTCTAAGTTTACATGTTATTCGCTTCCAGACCAACCCGACGATTCACTCTTCAAGACTGTACCAGTAAGTATATGTACTCCCCTATATGGCAGACATATTGTCAACACACCTGTCATTGGCGTGCCCTGGCGTAAATTATATCCCGTCCAAAAGTTGTTCTTAGTTTTTCACAGAATATATTTTAAACAACGAAAAGAGTGAATAATGTATTGTGTGTGCGTTAATTACTATATATTTTTCATCTCGTATATACTCTTCAAATGAAACTTATTTCCGCTTCACATTCATCAATTTTCTTTTATTTTCTCCAGTCATATACATCGCGGAATGGTTTCGTTATCATGACATCACATCTGAACAAAGAGAAAGTGTGGGAGACACTTTACAATAGTGACTGCCGAAGTATATTCACATACCCTACACATGATCAGGTTGGTTAAAATAAGATAAACATGTAACCTCTGCATGTGTTTTTCATATATTATAAGCTATCAAATGTTTAAGCATTACTGCTTTTAGTTTGAGGAGGTAGGGGGGCATGTAGGAATTAAATGCATCAAATTGTTTTTTTGTATAGCGTATGAGGGTAACTATATTTCTCTGTCAGATAAAGCCAACGGATAAATGTGGTATCCTTTGGGTTTTGTTCGGGTACATCTGCAAATATAAAAGATCGGATAGAGGCATTCACTACCTTCAGGATTCAATAACAAACATGGCTTCGCCCTTATCTATCGCTCATCGAGTCATTATTGATCATCGGAATTCTTAACACATTACTTGATAAGTGTTACCATGTTAAAAATACAAGTCTAAGATACCGAACAACAGTGTCTGACAAGTGGCGTAGCGGAGATCTCAGAGTTCAAGTACACATTGATTTATTAATTTTCACATATTTGCTGCAGTCATTACCAGAGTTAAAACAGTTGGATTTGCCTATAATAGTTTACCTTGTTCCATTTTGTCGTTATATAAGCCATCTCACTGCATTTGTTAACTTTATCACAAACCAGGCAGACGGGACATCGCAATAATTGGAGTAGCTTCTCGTTGGCAAAGGGCAGTTACTCTAGCGGGAGGATGGATGTCATTAAAAAATAATAGCAGCTACGCCACTGTCTTAAGACCTTGGAATTTGGAAGTTTCAGTTGGAACTATATTAACTGTTGTCATTGTCCGAGTGACAAATCACTGATCGACCTTGTGACGTAATATATCAATACGCATATTCCCGTAAAACTGGCTTTTGTTTAAGTACTGCCTGTGAGTGCCGAAAAAACTTTTTTGGGGATATAAATTAAGAATGACATTGTATGATAAAAAGGTTATCACGCATGGCATTATCTTATATTAGGAATAAACTCGCAACATGATACAGGATATTAGCCATCCCATAGCACACCCGCGTGATCACCTCTATTTACTCTCAAACCATGACATAACAGTGTAACAGGGTACATTGTATCTAGAAACAAAACAGACCAACTCATAAATGATTCTCTTTCAGTGTTATCTACCAACAGCTGAAACTTCAGTGACAACCAAGAGGTTCGAAGTGACTGTGTGCAGATCTACCCCATTGTCTGACAACATCATCCTGAACACGGTTGAAGTCAAATTAAAGGTACGCGTTCTTAACAAAATAAAGAATCTAGTTCTGTTTTAAACCTTGGTATTTAATTGGTTACTAACCTGGGGCATTTAATCTAGACACTGATATCCATATAACATGGATGTTTTAGTTTACTGGCTTAATTCATTACTTGTTATTATAAAAGAATATTCTGGGGTAACCTGCTTCTTACGAAATCTTAACTGTGTCAAAAATACATTAGGTAAGAACTAACAAGCTTTCTTCAAGCAATCACATTCTACATTTTTCCTCCAGGATAGTGGCGAAGTCACTGTTATGCAACACTACCACAACACCGGAAGTGCACGTGACGCAGAACTTGATTTGCTAATTGATAGCCTTCTGACATGGACCAATGATCCGGAACGAGTCTGCAGCATGATCATTTCTGAGTAAGTATATACGGAACCATCTAGGCACTTGATCACCTCAGGATCATGTCCTTTCTGTAACAAAACAACTACACTGTCACCGAACACACCACATGCCTTGAGCATGACTATGTGTATTTCAGCTGTATGAGCGAGTGTCGACTCCTGGTGCTTCTTGTGAACATCGCCAGCAGACTGCAGGACGACGGCAGAGTGGACGTCATCAACAACATGCGACAACTTTACACGCGTCTGGGAGGTCCACCATTCACAGAGGTAGTCGCAGAGATCTTTGCTGATCAGAGACAGTGTAGCCTGCGTGTAGCTTGACTTAGTCATGTCATTCATGTCATTACTCCGATCCCCGATCGTGTCAAACCCGATGGGGTTTGACGTTAAAGAGATAACACAAAGACTCGTCAGCTAGAAAAGTCAGATTACTGTGTCTGAGTTGAGTATCCATGATACACTGCCGCGTAGTATCTTCGTGCTGTGAGCTAGCACTATAAAACGCATATTAGTCTGGACTAGTACAAGCAGACACACACGCACACACGCATAGCTAAATGACCGTCGGTATAAAAGTACATCAATCTTAAACACGACGTTAAATCCCATTGCACCTGACATCATGTCATTGCTGTTTAACGATTATCTATTTTATCATGGATATGGAATCATTATTTAGAATATATTGGCACCCTCTATTTACCATGTTCTCCACTAACAGCGTCTGAACACAGCCTGTGTCATAATCTCATGTAACCTTATATTCCAGGCTGACGTGAGACTATGTCTGGAGTTTACTCAGCGGCGACTGGAGACACGCGGAGTTAACGCCAACATGTGACAACAAGAACCGAATCTTCCATGGAAGCGACTGTATGAAACAGTGGCCTAAAGGAAACGTTCAATATTTTAGACAAACAATGACATAATATCACAGATTACCCATATTCTGTAAGCCTGCAAATTTGAGGACATCATACCGTCAAAATATGAAACACACTGGAAGCTTGAATCCTTGAATTCAATTTTATTAGGGAAAATAATTTTCATAGTTTTAATGTTGTTACATTCATCATATTTTTATGAACTTGCTATTTTGCGTTGTATTATTCATGACCTCTTGTTGCTAGGCAAAACCCGGTTTTCTGGTTGCACTCGTAGCAAATTATTTGTTTATGAAATCCATATGCACATCTTTTTTATTTTCTCTTTCCGATTTGTATGTTATATATTGCTGGCTAAGTGAATGCGATTTCTAGATGCACATGGACGTAATTTCTCTCTCTCTCTCTCTCTCTCTCTCTCTCTCTATATATATATATATATATATATATATAAAGATATACAAAGATATACATATATATATATATATATATATATATATATTATGAAAGTCGCAAAGTATAAATAAACAATTTCATATCTTTGTAACGTTTGCACGTTTTTTTCGAATTTGATATTTATTGCATAGCGATTGATTTGATTTAACGAAATTACAGAAATATGGACAGGTTCTTTCAAATGTATTGATTCGATTCTTGTGAAGACAGATACTGAGTATGCATTTACTTTTGGTTTTACTAGCAAGGTAACTTGGCAGAAGAAAGCTTTTTCAAAAGTTAAAAACTAGCTGCAATTTAGGTAGCAAATATATTTTGATTGGACAAGCAATGTCACAACATGTCACAGATTTATTTTGAAATGGTCTACAAATTAACACTAAAGCTTGGTTGGTGTGTCAGCGAAAACATATATCAACCATACGTTATTCTGTGTAACTCAGAATCATAACTCTTCTGAGTTATGATCTCCAGTTGTCAGCCTCAAATAAAATGTGAGATTTTATATGATCACGCAATTATAATTTCATATATTAAAAATACGTTTAACTCAAAAACTTCCGTGTCCTTCATATTATTTTTAGGTTTCATTTTCTTTCCGTCTTCCATAACTGAATGAGCGTGAGTTGTAAGTTACTGAAGAACTAATTTCATCCGATATTGCTACTGGGGCGTCTTCCATGAACTGACTCACTTGCTGTATTAAACGTTTTCATAAGGCATTGGGCATTTCGACAAAGCACATAAAATATCACTTACGATAAGTAAGAAAAGCAACTTCTTCACATTACGGGTGAAATGCTGACAAAACACGGATCAGGACCAATCGGTAATTCAAATTCACGATCAACGGATCCTGGTGAGACGAGGATCACGTTCATCCGATTCTGACGCCACAGGCCACTTGGCAACCCATTGCTCTTGAAGCAGGAATATATGAATGAATTACCGAAACGTTTGTATTCATTGTGCCACTGACCTAGAATAGGTATGAAATATAAGCGGCCATTATTATTTATGTGAACTGTATCTGCGATGTTCAAGTAAATGGCATAGCAACTACGATGATGTACGAATATTCACCTCCAGCCACATCAACGACCAAATACTTCTGAACTTCAAGATGTAAAGATGAAACAGAAATCAACCACTTGTTCAAATCCAAGCTTTATCAATTGTCTGGTGAATCAGTATTCCCTGTCCCCAAAATTTAACCCAGTGATTTGTTTATGAGAGTTTTGTTATCTTTACCGGCAACAACATTCCCGTCAGTTAGGAGGACGCCATGGTCTACATCGTTGTTTATGACATGTCCCTACATGGCTGGGTATTCATCATGTTCTGCTTCATTATTATGATAAACATATATAATCCACATCACTATTCATGCTATCCGATATGTAAGTATAGTTATTTCCCTTGAATGAAGTTTTATCTTTACAACCCATATAGGAAAAGAAATTCAAACTGATTTGTTTAATAATCGCCCAGTTGGGGCTTGTATTAGCCCCTTAATGCCGAGCGCCAGGCAGGGTAACAACAAATATCATCTTACAACGTCTTTTGACATGACGCTGCCGTGAGATCGAACACCTAACCTTCTACTCAAAGGGGGGCGGTGGGGTAGCTTAGTGGTTAAAGCGTTCGATCGTCACGACGAAGACCCGGGTGCGATTCCCGACATGGGTACAATCTGTGAAGCCAATTTCTGGTTTGCCCCGATGTGATATTGTTGAAATATTGTTAAAAGCGGCATAAGGCTGTACTCACTCATTCACTCTACTCCAAGGGCAGTCGCTCTACCACTAGACCACGGAGGCGGTCGAAAATAGAGGAAAAACTTCTAATCAGATAATATTATGAACTTATAACAATGTGGTATTATTGTATTACTATTAGTACTTTGGCTGATAATTCAGAAGGATATTGTGATTAAATGTTTCACAGGAGGATAAAAGCTTTTTCATATGAAGTGGGTGCTACCGTTCCTATTGTGTCTCATTCAAATTATAGCCAAGAGTTGTATCGCTATCAGTCTTGCCGCATAGTTTATTTGAAAATCAAAAACGATCAACATAATATCATCTGCTGTGTCATTCATCGATATGTTTTGATGAACAACATAATATAAGAGAGAGAGGGAGCTTGTTAGTAAATTTGGGATTATTACAGATCCAACCTCAACAGTATCATCCTCGTAAAATTCCAAATATGAATCTTGGTTTCTGCAGCCAGGAGAAGGAACTGTCATGGAAAAGTTTCAATCACTTGCTTCTAAGTACTCATGCACCTACTTCTTATCAACACAAAAGGCCAAAGCCAGAGAATCATCAGTCTCGAATGTCCACCAAAACAGATTCAATAAGGCGGAAAAAGAAAAAAAAGTGACCAAAAATATATGATAACACCTGTTCACTTTGTACACATGCATTATAAGGCAATGTGAAGGCGTAACAAAGTGTGGCAGAAATATAATGCCTTAACATTAACCTGATAGCTCCTCAATGAATGTCTATTTCAAACTCACATTTACTGTATAGGTGATGATATGTGAAGACAAGGTGCGTTTATGGATAACAACGTCTTTATAAAGAGGTTCAGCCCTTCTTCTTGACCCCTTCATGAGGAGAATACTGAGTGAAGGTATATACACATATGTAATATTGTTCATATATATACATACATATATTCTTACACGGGTCAGGGGGGCGGTCGGGTAGCCTAGTGGTTAAAGCGTTCGTGAGTCACGCCGAAGACCCGGGTTCGATTCCCGACATGGGTACAATGTGTGAAGCCCATTTCTGGTGTCCCCCGCCGTGATATTGCTGGAATATTGCTAAAAGCGGCGTAAAACCATATTCACTCACTCACTCACTACACGGGTCAGGATTAAAGTATAGTGTTCGATCAACTATACCTGGTGATAGAACGTAAATGCTTTCATCTATATTCATTTCCATATGATGTATGTTTACCTTATTCAATAACATAAGCACAAATACATACGAAATCACATGATTTGATTAGTTTAGGATAATGCTTTAGCAGAAGTAGATGCTGTACCACTGCAAGAAAAAACACAAAGACTTGAGTCGGATGTAAGGCCACAGGTTTATATACAGAAAAGTACAAGGACTGGAGAACACTCCTGGGCTGGGAAACGCTAAACACGACTGTCAACCCGAATGGTGCCCGGACAGAACATATACCTACAACAACTAAATTCAGCTACAATATGGGTTATTTCCCTTTGTTTAGAGCATGTGAAGCACAATTCCTGAATAATACACTGATAAGGTGCACTATTAAACCAGGAAGAGTAGCTTCCCTTGCACTATTAAACCAGGAAGAGTAGCTTCCCTTTGACCGTGGAACAAAACTGCAACGGGAGAAAACCCCTTGAATTGGAATAATGTAAGATTAACCAAAATAATGCATTTTTTTAATTAATAATAAAATTAATTATTATACCTTTCTTAAAATAGATCAGGTTTTCAATCGTATCATACACACTTCTTTCCAAATATTGCGCATACAGTATGTTGATGTGTTGATAACACTTCACTAGAGGAAGCTATTATCGTGTGGCGTGTCTGATTGTGGTTAATCACATGCTCCATTGCCCAGTAGACAATGGTCTGCTTTCCTGTGTTATTATAGCAGTTTTTTCATGTGTAAACATGTTTTCAGGGTTCACCCTCCTCTTATATCTTTGTCCCCAGTGGGGTGGCCATGCTTTTATACTAAATAAACCAATGGAAAATCATTTGTTCTGGGTTTTTTCATACCTCAACCGTGAGACTTACCTCACTGTTTTACTTTCCTTTGTCAACAGGTATTTAATAAGTAATTTACTTGTTCTGATCGCTATATGGCTGCAATATTGCCGATGCGATGATAAGTCTTAACTCACTCACTCACTCTTACATCGTAGTTGGATGGCTCTGCCATGTTCATGTCCACATGCTTATCCTGCAAATCACTAAGTAGTCTGTCTCCACTAATATAATCTTCCAAGTAAAAATATGTGTACACGTAAAGTGGCCATGTTCTTCACGGCCTTGCACTTTTGCGTCAACTCATTGATTAAAGTTTGTTTATCAAACAGGATGCTGTGGCCACAGAATATGACACATGGGGCACCTTACCGAACAACCGAACAACCGAACAACACGAACAATATGCAATCAACATTGATTAAGGTAAATTTAAGCTTCATGCTTGTCATTGTTGTTTATTCAGATGACACTTGGTTCTTGAGCTGCTAGACCATAATATACCATACTACGGATGATAACTATGACAACCGACAGAACTGTATATTTACATATGTAAGACAGTATGGACATTGCCTCAGTGGAGATACTGTATACTCCATATAAAATTTCCAATGCCTGTTAGTTTTTGGTTTACCAAACATCCCCTGTTGCCCTTCCATATCTAGTTATAAAAACTGGTTATTCTGTCTGACCAATTACTAACATAACACAAATGGCGTGTGCTTTGATGGATGAAGAGTGATGAGAGTGTGTTTGTCTGATTCCTGTGACCAAGGCAACACAGAGGGAATATCTCATTTCATGAATCTAACACTAATTCCTAATCTGACACTCAGGGGATTGTGTGTGTCTGATTCATATACCGAGTATGCCATGGATGGCGTGTGTATGCATTTTCCATGACTTATAGAACAAAATAAATCAATGATACATATAAGTACATAGGACAGATGGAGTGTATTCACACAAATAAAAACATAGACAAATAAATAATTACTCGTGGCTCTGAGCATTGACAATATATAACCTTTGCATAAACATCTCCGAGTGCAGGTGCTTAGACTTGTCTAAATCAATGCTCACACAAATAATCATGTATCTACATTTAGTTCATCAGCGAATATTCGCTGAACTTTTGTTGTAAGTAAAGTAAGCGTCCAACAGGATATATGTCT